AAGATAAAATCTAATGTCAATACATTCTCAAATGAGAATCTGAAACCGAAACTAACTCAATGAGACACAATGAGATCATATATAGAAAATGTATGATTAGAAAAAATAGTCATCCTAAAAATATGACATAGTAGCAGTTCATGAGAAAGAGATCAGAGAATTAATTGAATGAAAGTCAACTTTATCTGATATCAAGGTAGACCTTTATCATTTCAAATTTGGTTTACTTCTTCCAGGAAGCCTTCCTGACCCTGAAATGTTATGTGAACATACTTCTTCTCTACTTAAATTTGTCTGGTTAATACTAATTCCAAAACAAAGAAGTGTAAGATTATGGAATAATAAAAACTCTGAGTTTCTTTGAACATTAGTTAGAGTTCTCCTAACAAATTCAAAGAATCCTCCTAATTTAGTATAACTCTAAGGACACAGATGTACTAGAAAAGATCCCTGATACTACACCTAAGGGTCTTAAGGTCTATCCTTCAATCGCCTCTTTTCTGTTTTTATTGTTTTAATGCAAGAAATGTCCATTTCCTGAAAGCTGAAAGCCGTTATCTTCCTCATTACTCACCTGTGGTGTTTAACAACATATTCCCCACCCCCCAATAAATCACTTACTAATTAAAAACAGATGTTTAAAATACCTGATATTTCAAATACCAAATATGCCTCAAAGATGTAATTGCCAGAACAAAACATAAACTAACAATATTAATAAAAACATTAACAAAGACATTTAATGAAATGCATGCAACCTATTATGCTAATGTACTTTTCAAAAGATTATTGAGATTTTATGAGGAGGTAGTTTCTGGATTTTCTTATTTTTAAGATAATTTCAATATTTAAGTAGGCCAGACATTTCAGAACATAACAAATATACCTAAAACATAACAAACAAATATAAAACATTAGAACACAGAGCAGTGCGAAGTACTTGAATTGGTACTGAGAAGGGAATTTAGAGCCCTAAATGTGTGATCTATAGTAGAAGAGAGACTGAAATTAAGGAGCTATGAATCTATTTTTAAAATTTAGAAAAATATATAGCAGTGAAAGAAAGTCAAAGAAAAGAAATAATACATATAAGACTGTATATCAATGAGAAAAATACAATAGGTAAAATAGAGTAAAAAAATTGGTTTTTGCTATGATTAATAAAATTGACAAGTTCCTGGTTTGAAAGATTAAGAAGAAATGAAGAAAAAAGTACAAATGATATTTGAAAGACAAAGCAACATAAATTCAAGTGTTGCAGACCTGACATATTTTAGAACATTATGAATACATTTTTAATAAATATGAATACTTAGATGTAATGGATAAATTGCTGGAAAAATACAGTTGCAGGAGAAACAGACAATCAACTAATACTATAACTATTTAAAAAGTTTAAGGTAGTAGTTAAAAATCTTTGCTCCAAAAAAAGTCCAGGTCCAGGTAGTTTCAGCTACCAGGTCTCTATAATTATTAACAAATATATAATTCTCATATGTAACAAGCAATTACAAAGTGTAGAAAAATAGAAATTATTACTCAAGTAATTTATGAAGTTATTACATTATTACCAAAACTTGACAAGGACTCTATGAGAAAGAAAAACTCATGTCCAATATTCACTCATGAATAAAAAGGCTCAAAAATGCTAGCAAACCAAATCCAGTAATAAAGAAAAAGACAGATTTAGTCTAGAATTGCAAATTTGATTTCCATTACAAAATCAATAGAAATAATTTACCCAAATAACAGATTAAAGGAGAAAATTTATCTTACCTATTTTAATAGATGCAAACAAACAAAAAACCTTTGTTAAAAACAACGTTCATTTAGGTTTAAATAAAAATAAGCCAGACTCTCAGCAAACTAGCTCCAGAAAGCTTAGCAACCATAATAAAGTGTATTTTTATTAAATAGAGACATAAAACCTTAAAGTATGTGTCTAATTTGCTATAGTCAGAATTGTAACAAGTCAAGAGTTGCCTCCAATAATCACTATTCACCATTACACAGGAGTACCTAGTAAGTGCAGTAACTAGAACTAAAAAAAAGAACAAAAATTATAAAATCCAGAATGGAAAAAAAAATAAACACTGTCATTACTTGTAGATATTATAAGAATCTTCATTGAAAATTCAAGCTAACCTATAGGTAAATGATTATAATTAATAGAAGAGTTTAGAAAGTTTTCTAAGTTCAAATAAATATTAAAATTTATTAACACTCTATAAGCTACCTACAAACAATATGGAATTTCAATAAAATCAATAACACGTACAATACCCATATAACATTAGTTTTCTAGGAATAACACTAAAAAAAATCTGAGCATATAATATAAACATTTCATCTCTACAGATAATAAATAAGCAGCAAATAAATATAATATAGAATGGATGATTCAATACTGAAAAATAGTCAACTATCTCTTAATTTAATTAACCTCTACCCCAGAACCATGTACAAAAATATTTATAGCAACATTATATATAACAGCCAAAATCTAGAAACTCCCCAAATGCCAATGAAGAGGAGATGTTGTAGAAAATTAAACAATGGTAGAAATGAATCAACTAGAATTACACCCATTGACAGAAATGAATCTCAAAAATAATTTTAAGTAAAGGAAGAAAGTCATACATTATGATTCAATTTTTAGATCAAGTCCAAACACAGGAAAAATGCAACAGTATTTGTTTAGGTATACACAAATAGGTAGTAAAAATCTACACAGATGATCCTTTTCCTTGGTTTAGATATAAAGGCCAGAAATGTTTATTTTGATTATGTACTTGCTTGTATATTTGTGTGCAATAGCCCTTTTATTTATGTTCTATTTCATATAAATTAAAAAATGATGAATTTTAGTCTATTTTGTCATATCTTCCAGTGAATCATATAACATCTTAGCAATGAAAGTTTTTTTTAACTCCATAGAAAATTCACACTTTAGAAAATTTGTTATATTACCAATTTTCTTTGTAAGCCAACTTTCCCTTGGCCCAAATAAGATGAGGACATCAACAGCATGTTTATACAGGATGCAGAAAGAGCTATATGAAGCAGAAATAAATGTGGAGTACTGGATTTTGCATCCAAAACTCATCAGCGCAAGTGAAGGTTAGTCATACCAAATCAAGTGAAAGAAACTTAGATGAATTAATAATTATAGTTATCATTAGTTGAGTTTATAACATGTCCAAATAATTGGCCAATTACTTTAGGTATATTTTCTTTAGTCCTTACAGCAGTTCTGCAAAGAGTAATATCAGAAAGATAAATTGATTTGCTACTTACACAGCTCATGTAGAGAAAAGTTAGAATCTGAACACAGCTGTGTCTTTTCCTCTCATAAATGCTTTTGTCATTACTCCATATTGCCCAAATATTATTATTTGATGTCTGACAGTAGGGTGTAATGGAGCATGATAAGAACTGATTTTTAATCTAGCTCTGCAAATTATTAGCTGTTTGACCTTGGATATTAATTAATAAATTCTTAAGGACTCAGTTCTATATTTTTTTCTTTTTTTTCTCTTTTTCTTACAAATTGGGGGTAATAATACCTACTACAGGCCCTGAAGTTTAAATAAAATTCATATGTAAAAGTATCTAGTACAAAATATCTGTTCAATAAATTGCAGCTTCAGTTCATTAAATTATGTGAACATCTCCAAAAATTTCAGCATCCTGGGGTTAGAAAGAGAAACAGATGGTTGGATTCATATAGGGCTAATGGAGCAAATGGAAGAAAAAGATAGAGAGCCGGAAAAGTGAGAATGCTGGTAAAGAACTCACTTTCATGACCGTTCACAGGGTCATGGCCAAGATGGGGAGACAATGAAACCTGGAAGAGTCTGGTTCTCCGACAAATAGAGAACATCCTTGGGATGAGCAACTTTAATGAAGTTGGGGGGAGAGAGGAGCTTCATTTGGAGAAAAGGAATGGAAGAAGAAAATGAAAGAGGACTTTAATTAGGTCAATCACAACCAACCCAGAGCAAAGAATAATTCACAGCCTGAACAACTGCATAGCTATTTAAATACTCTCACTCCGATTTTCCTGATGGGATGAGCTTTTGAGAAAGGTTGACCAGGAGGACCTCATACTGTGATTAGTCATAGTTTTGCTGCTGATTTGACTGGGAATGCAGTGTCTCGGTGCGGCTCAGAAGTATTTACCAAACAAGAGCTTCTCTATTTCTATGACAGCCTTACCATGGAAAGAAACAAAACAGAAAAGAAACCACGCAAAAAAAAAAAAAAAACACAAAAAACAGAGCTCCTCCGGTTGAGTAAAAGCATATGGACTTCCTACCAAATGTTACTCATGTTCATTTGATTTCTAATTATATACCTTTCTGAATTCCTGTTACCAACAACCCAATTTTACAGTCTTTCTACAAAGAATTTTTTCTGTTACTTTTTCCTAAAAGTAAAATGTTTTCTCTATCTCTGTGTAGCCCAAGACTAGAGTTCTGCTGCATCTATACAGACCTACTTGATTCTTTTTTAACTGCCTGCCTGTTTGCTCAAGTATTGTCAACCTCAGGTCCCCAGCTCCTGTGATCCGCCAACTTGCTGTACCCTCTCCCATGCCTAGAATTGTGGTACCCCTTCAATATTGTTCATTGTCAGTTAGAGATTCCTCGGCCCTAACAAATGAATCAAGCTCGAGACAGATGTCTACCAAGTCAAGTCTCACTGATAAATCTCAATGTATCCACAGGAATTATTAAAAAGCAGTTCAGAAATATGAAGTATTATAGATTTCTAAAACTTGTATGTCCTCTTCTTCAGCTAATATTGTAAACGCTATTCATTATTTGTGTTCTCTCTGAAATTTGAAATTGTTTTAATTCTGTCCAGCATCGACTCCAATATCCCCACGAGACATACCTTACTCTATGCAGAAGAAATGCTAATTAGCGATCCTTTAAGCGACAAATGAGACACTGCAGTAAGTAAAGTAGCACTTTGGCTTACACTGAACTTCATACCTGAGCGCATAGCCTCTTTCTGAATGCTTTCATAGTCATGCCAGTCCTTTCTTCTCAAACCATCTGTCCATGCATAGAATTGCCCATCTCCCAGGCCCAGTGGAAATGTCTGTGGAAAAGGAAAGTATTCAGAGCATAAAAAGGAGGTATTTCCTTTTGCATGGTAGGTAAACACAGCCCAGTACATAATAGGCAATCAAAGAATATTTATTGAATAATGATTCTTCTAAGTATACTGAAAAGAAAGCTATTGCTAGTGACAAGGTTAATATACATTTTAAAACCCTTTTCCAGCTTTTAAAATAAAAGAATGGGTCACCCACAACCCCTACCATTTCCTATTTTGTTTCACCCAGAGACATTAATAACTCACTGTATCACCTCCTCTGAGCAAAATACTAGTAATGGTATTAAATGGAATTAATTTTGTTTGTGATTTGTACAGTTTCATTCATTTTGATCAAGTATATTTGAATGGCCTGATAATAATATTAGCAACCATTCAGTGAACTCTCACTATGAGCCAGGCACTATGTTAAATACTTTGTGTATAAAAGATTGTTTAATCTTTATGATAGTCTGTGGTTGTAAATCTCCATTTTTCTGTCAATTAAAGTAAGGCCCAGAGAACTAAAATAATTTGAATTCAATCACAGTGGCAAAGTCAGAACTTGGGACAGTTCTGTTAAGACCACAACTGTGGTCTTAACAACTATTAATACTGTCTCCCATCTAGATTTCTGTTAAAGTATGGTGCATGGTTACACTTGCAGTTGAAATTAGCACCTACTCAACAACTGTCGTCACAACATATGTTTTATGCTTTGTTAAAACCCAATATGTTCCAATGTCAACTTGAAAATTATGTTTGTGTACGTTGCTGAAACTACTTTTTTGGTGTTTATTTTTGGTAATAAGAAGCAAATGTTTTGAATGAAATTTATTTTCACAATCTTAATACTCAACATAATGTAAAATAAATGTTTTCATATTCACATACTATTTTTCTTTTATTTGGTTTACTTTCTGAAATAAATAATACGTTTACAGAGTGAAGAGAAAAAAATTAAAGTTTCAATTTAGATAAAACAAAAGATGAATAATTTCAATGAAGAAATTTTATTCTAAGAGGCTTTCCAAGGCAAATAAAATGTCTTATTTCTTAGTGTGAAACAGTATGACTATTGTGCTTATGAAAAATTATCTCAGTCCATCTTTGTAGGCTATAAAGGATCCACATGTTTGAAAGGATGAAAATGGAGCTTGGCATAAAAAAAAAAAAAAGTACTTAAAATCAGAAGAAAGATTTGCCAAATCAGGTGCCTGTTATCTAGATATTTAAAGGAATTTGTTACAAGATTGGTGTTTTCAGGAAAATGAAAACAATAGAAGAATAAACATACAAGGATGATGATGAGTTTATGTAAAATGTTAAGGATAATAAGAATAAAATTTAAAAGGAAAATGACAAGAAAGAAAGTTATGGAGAGTTAACAGAAAAAAATATGGTAAAAATAGAAGAAAATGGGAAAAATAATTTTGGAAAGAAATTTGGGCTTATAATAGCAAACATTAAAAACATATCATGTGTTTTTTCTAATTGATATTGATTTCATAATTAGAAATTTTACCAAAACTCAGCTGGAAATCAGAAGTTTTAAATAATCAAATAGCTTTAAAATACAAAACTCATGTTTTGTTTCAAACTTGCATTTACAATAATAAACACTGAGCAGTAATGAAAATATCTTATACTGATTCAAATAATACCAATTTATAAACATCACTTTCAGATTAAAATAGATAACTTCAAAATAAATTTTGACATTAAACATGGAGATGTTCTTGTGTAAACTCCAAATATACAAAACTCTCTCTGGTTACCTAGTGGTTCACAAACAGGCCACTGAACATGGAGGGCAAGGAGAGTCCAAGGAAAGAAGCAGACCACTCCAGTATGGTAGGTGACAGGTGTAATAAGCAAGGGAACTTAGATATGAGGCTTGTCTTGGGCACCACAAGACAAGTAGATCCTTGCACAGGCCCACAGAATCTTAAAAGTTTATATAGAGACCTTAATTGGGTTCAGTTGCATATGCAGTCTAATAGTCTCAACAACCCCTTACTCTCTCAAGGCTGTTGTTTTAAACAGCTCCTAGTGTGGGAATAGTAGGTGCAGTGTACATTCCAAGGACAAGGGAGGGGTTCGGAGCCTCCAATTGCCCAGGTCCCATTCTCCTGTCAGCTGGTGGTCATGTCTTCATGATGATCTCCTCCAACACTTCACCCATCTTGACCAGCTCTTACAATCTAACACAGTCCCACTCTTCTGCAATGTGCCCTATGAAGTCGGCAAGGGTTTTATTAGCATGGAAGTGGTTCATTTGGTTGCTATCTGGCTGCATTGAGGCAGAGGTCACAAGAACAATATAGGCACACACATGTGAAAACACAGGTTAAGATAATGATTCCCAACATTTTTTTTTTCCCCCTCCAGGAGCCCCAGCGTCACAACCATTGATTTACTAAGTCCTCTAGGCTGGGGGTTAGAGTGCTCTGGATGTAGTTCCCCCTCACCCAGGGGTGCTAAGTAACTCACCCATCCCAGTAGGACATCTCATTGCAAAATTCCAATAGATAATTCCTTTCCTAGGTATAATGGAACATGGTATTCTCAGCAGCATAGCGTGTTGATCCCAAAACTTCCATACCTTTATAGTACTTGGTACCTTGACAGGGGTCCCCAGTCTGTCATATGGGGCAATAGAGCCTACTGGTTGACCATAAAATTGTACTAAAGCTTCGACAGTACTTTAGTCCACCTGGCCAAAGTGGTTTTGTCTGTTAGTAATTCAAACTGCTGCTTTAATATTTCATTTTCTACTTTCTACCAAACCTGTTGTTTTGGGGTTAGAGAGGAGATGAAATCTTTATTCAATGCCATGTTCTTTTCCTCAGGCTTGCACATCACGACCTTTGAAATGTAACCCCCAATCACCATCTACTCAACGAGGGTATCCATATATGATACTCAGCTTCTCTAATCCCCTAACAGCAGCAGCCTAGTTTGCACAGAGACAGAGGGAAGCTGGGGTTAATTAAGCCAGCGGCAGGGTCCACACAAACAAAGGTATGTTTAGAAGCCCCCTAGGAGGTAGGGTGCCAAAATTCGCTAATATCTCACTGCTTGGGAATGCTGTCTTTTGGGAAGTCTGCCCCCGACTCCTTTGGCAGTTGCCTGAGGCATTGTTTAGAACCCACAGAACATGCTGTTACTACATTAAACAAGTCACTGTATTTCAAGGGCAATGTGTCATCTTTGGTAATATACCATCCCACCCAGGCACTATGGTGCTTGTTCTTCCTATGCAACCAATCTGCTATATCTACTAAAGGGTCAGTTTATGGCTCTTACCTAAGCCTGAGCATCAGCTTGCTGATTGCCAGGTTGTCAGTGCCTTTAGGAATCTAGACACGGAAGGCAGTGAGGTTTGCCTCAGGCTATTGCAGGTAAACCCAAATGCGTTTCCCCATATCCTGACTCCACAAGGGCTTATTCATGATCATTCACCCCTCAGGTTCCCATTGTCCAAGCTAAAGAGTTAATCCCTTTAGAACAACCCAACTGTCAGTGCAAAGAGTTAAAGGCCAAGTGATCACCAGCCAAACTGTTAATGAGTTAAGCCCACTGGCTGCTGTGGTTTATTCTTGTTTCCATCCAGATGGTGTCAGTATTGGACTGAATAACAACAGCAGTCTCTGGATAGATAGCCCTGACTAGATCAATCACTAGGAATTTCCCCTGTTCCTTCTCTACAGGCCATTGTAGCCAACACAGAAATAGGGGCAGGGACATTTGGAAGATCTACATCCTCTGCAATGCCTAGTAGCTCCTGCATTCCCAGAAACGGTGGGCTGGCGGACATGGTGCTCCTCTGCTGTAAACAGGCATGCCGCTTAGTCAAAGTGGGAGTTTGAGCCAAGGCAGAAGTGGATCAATGCCACTGCCAGGTGGGGAATAAACTTCCTTCGAAACCCTCAAATCCCTACAAAGGCTTGTACCTCTTTCATGTCCTTAGAGGTTGGGTAGCTTCCCCTCACCCAGGGGTGCTAAGTAACTCCGCATCCCAGTAGAACATCTCATCGCAAATTCCAATAGATAATTCCTTTCCTAGGTATGATGGAACATGGTATTCTCAGCAGCATAGCATGTTGATCCCAAAACTTCCATACCTTTTTAGTACTTGGTACCTTGACACCTTCTCTCAATCACAGCTTCTGGGACAACCCACATCTTATCCAACCAGATGACCCTCAGATCTTGCCTGCCACCCCATGATATATTGCAGGGCTGTGCAGGTAGCCTTGAGGAAGCACTTGAAAAGTCCATTGTTGCCCCTCCCACATGAAGGCAAATTGATCTTGTGACTCAGCAGCTAGGAGTATACTGAGAAAAAACCCCAGAAAAACAAACAAACAGAAAAAACCCTTGCTAAGTCCAATACTGCATGATATGCTCTTAGGACTGGGGACAAGGTATCTAAGATGGTGGCAATGTTGGGCAAAGCCACATGGATTGGGAACACTACATTATTTAATTCTCAGTATTCCGTGGTCATCAGCCATGAGCCTTCTGGCTTATTTACTAGCCTTATCAGGCTGTTGAAAGTACAATGGGCAGGGCATATAATACCCACTTGGTACAGTGCTTGGATAGTTTCTCCTATTTACTTATACCCCCAGGTAATTTATATTGATTGACAGTTACCAATTTTCATAGGGACTGGTAGACTTACTGGTGCCCAGTTGGTGTTATCCCTCAGCACTGTTTTGATTGCTCTAACCCAGAGGTAGAATTCATGCAAAACGTTTTTGCAGAGTTTGACCTTATAAGGTATCAGTGCTCAATATGTTTTCTGGTATAGGAGAGATAAAAACCTCATACTCTTGGGGCAGGGGGTGGGTGATGGGTGGAGAATGCCCAATTTGCAGTGTCAAAGCAATCTTCCTAACCATAACCATTTGCCTTCCATAACCACTGATGGCACTGAAGGGGCTGGAAAACTTCTGAGGGTTACTATATATTAGAGAATATTTATCTCTGTATCA